ATACCTGGCAATAAAGCTCATTCTGATTCTGATCTGATTCTGATTATTAGATCTACCGTTCAAAGGTTTGGGTCAGTAAGATTTTGAAAGAAGTCTCTTATGCTCACCAAGGCCGCATTTATTAGATCAATTGTTCCAATTTAAAATAATTTGAATATATTTTAAAAATGTATTTTATTCCTGTTATGCAGAACGCTGAAATTAGCTCTACTAGCCCTGCTTATGCCTGTCAGGATAAACCTGCAAGAGTTTTAAACCAGTGATGCTTATAGTAATCTTGTATTTTGCCATCTTTAATGAGGCTGTGTGTGATTTGTTTCAGAGATTTGGCTCGGCTTTAGTTCCCTGGGGATCTCTGCAGCTCAAACAGAAACAATATGCTAAAGACTTCCAGCCGATTGATCCTGACTGCCAGTGTCCCACCTGCAGGAGGTACATCAGTCTGGCGTTTAACTGGCTAAACTGCTGCTTCAGTATGCTGATGTTCAGCTGCCTGCTGTGCTTAAAAGAATAATGCAACCCCCAAAAATGAATATTTTACCATTTACTCACCCAGCAGAGAACTTTGATTCGGAAACTCGTATTATCCCATAAACCTAAAGATGATTGTGATTCTTGATGTTGCCAGACACAGTCGGGCGTACCTTCACGCGCTGTTCAAGAGCGACACCGCAGCCTTGCATCACATCACCATCCATAACATCTCTTACCAGGTAACTATATCAACTGCGTGTTTTGAATCCAGTATTTATTATTGTTGTTGTCACTTCATCTCCTCCTGTCCTCACCGTATCGTTCCTCAGCTCACCCTCATGCGGTCAGCGCGTCAGAGCATCATAGAGCAGAGGTTTCCTGAGTTTGTGAAAGCGTTTATGAAGAGGATGTTCGCGTCCCGGGAGCAGTACCCCAGCTGGGCTGTAGAGGCTCTACGATCAGTGAACATCCACGTCAGCTGAGTATCCTACATGAGGAAGATGATGACGACTGCATTTTAAGACTTGCTGTTGTTTGTTTCTTTTTTTTAGATACTAACATTTTTAACATATAATATGTGAAATATCCCTGTTTTGTAAATAAAAT